ATGCAACCAGGCAGAAGCAGAGACAAAAAAACCAAAACCCAAATACAGTGCAGTTCTGTGCTAAATGTAAACTACTAAAAAAATAAAGGGAAAGCAGCATTCTTCTTCATAGTAAAGTTTCAAAGCTGTATTAAGTCAATGTTCAATTCTAATCTTTTGAAAGAACAACCATAATATTTTGTTCAGAGTTACGAACGTTTCAGAGTTACGAACAACCTCCATTCCCAAGGGTTCATAACTCTGAGGTTCTATTGTACTGGATGGAGACCATCTATTCGTTTCACACAAGCCAATGGGAAGCACTCACACAGTCTTTAGTCACCGATGACCTGGGTTGGATTTGAATCTGGGACCTAGAAGTTCTGGACCTTCTTTTACCTTCTTTAGTGATCCCCTGGTTTTCAGCAGGATGAAAATGAAGTAGAGTGGAATGCAGATCATGGAAGAGAGAGCCATCAACCAGCCCAGAGCGTAGCCCCACGGAGGGTACACGTACCAGTTGTTGTATTTGAGGGGGGTGTACTTGATCAGTGAAAATAGGAAAGTCGCCTGAGGAATGAAGAACATAAAATCAGAATAGCAGGTGGGTACATGGTGAGTCAGAAACAGGTGGTGAGAGACGGTTCCTGACAAGGGATGTATAAGTAGTAGAAATTTGTGATCTCCTTACGTTGTTATATCCTTGTTCCTAAGTGTTTGGGAGTTGGAAATAATGTCATGGGTATGTACACTGCTGTTACTTACCAGCCTTAACTGAGTTTTTAAACATTTTTTTGGTTTTGGAATTTTCCCTCCCCCCTGTGCAGTTTTCCATTCACCAACCCTCCCCTCCCCTGAACCTTTGGGATGTGAGTCTCTGTGCTCTTCTACCTCCTATCCCCCACCTTTCCAGCCCCTACCCAAATCCTTACCTTGCCTTGCCCTCTCCAGCATGGATCCTCTAAACCTCCAGGAAATTCCCTCTCTCTCCAATGTATGTGTAGGAGGAAGGTCCTTATTTGTAAGCTCTCTGTAGTCAGGGTGCAGAAACTCTGGAGCAGCCAATCAGGGGCTGCAGTTTGGGCACCTTCTCTGGTGACTCCTGGCTTAGTCAGACCTCTGACAGGACTGACTTTTGAGCTCTGAGAACAGCCATGAGGCACCCAAGGCCCTCTCTGAAAATACTCGTTGAAAGATGATCTCTCAGCCCGTACCCAGCCCTATAGAGCACTCAAACCAGTGAGCTCTCAGCAACTCATGCATGACCAAGCAGCAGCTCTGAAAACTCCCTGATTGTTTTCAACTCCCATTGGAGCCCTCAGGTGGCAGCTCCAACA